ACAGTATTCCAGTAACAGGTATGCGTTTTAGGGGACACTGTTTGGTCAGATACGGTGGAAACACATTTTGGTATCAAAGCGTTGCCCGATAAAAATCATTCAGTATTCACTCAGACATTACCAAATAATATTAGTAAGTTAGGCGCGTTCGTCAGTGCATTGTTTCCGTCTTGCCGGCGTTTGTGAGTTTCCGGTCTTTTACTGAAATCCGAAGTAGTAGTCCATGGAGTAATCTGACGGTATTATACACACACACACATCTAGTTTCATAAGTTTCGGACAGCGAGAAAGCTCTATTGGTGCAGCTGAATTCGGCAGGTCTGGTGACAAGCCTACGATGTTGTTTTAATGACATCATAAAGGAGAATGAATGATCGGTTCAAATCAATATCGATTACCTCAAACGACTACTACTCACAAGTGGCTGTGAGGCAGATGTGAATTATTCCGTTAGCCTGGTATGTTTGTGTCAAGTCAGCGCGTAATCTGCATGGAAGGCTTCCAATTGGAGTTAACAGATAGTCAACTATATTTCCCTTCGTTGCTGTCGAGTCATACATGATCCATATCATTAACGGTCACACACACATGTCTTCCATGCGATGGGTTCGGAGTTCAAATCCCGGAAGAGAAGATGGAATATTCACAATCTGATTCAGAGTACAAGCTATTTGTCTGGGAGGAACACCCGACAAAAACGCGCTCATTCGTATTGAGACATCTGTTCGCTTAAAACTGAGACAATTCTCAAACTAAGCGAAGATGTGAGTCCTGGTTTCATTCCGCAGGGATCTCCAAGGTAATAATTTCAAAGTAGACTGCAAATCGAAACAACACTGGAGCATTCATCAATCTCTGGTTTCTTCACGTGAATGGTACGGGGTGATGACTCAGTGTGGCAATATCACCAAATTACCACCCCGGAGGACGAATTCCACCACCAAGGGATCCGCCTGACTTTTCATTTTCTCAGTGTGTTATATATCACAGCGTCGTTTGATTGGCCGCCTCTCGTATGCTAAAAGTTATGTCATTGTGTATTCAATACAAGTGACAACGAAAAATAAAAAAGGAGATAGGAGGTTATTACACATCCATGCGTTTCAGCTTCCGATAAAACTGAGCTGCCATCGATTACGTAATTGGGTCATAACTCTTCGGGTGATGTATCATTAATTCTATTACACGTAATTAGAATCAATACCGCCAACAAATGTTGCCTGAACATACCTCTGATCCTGTTTCCGCTGTAAATTCTTCAATAATTGTCTGCAACCACGGGGCGTAGGTGTTTTCCAATGTCATCGGTTCTAGATCGACCAATTCCTGATTACATTTCCGTCCAAACGGACCCTGAATTCCGTCTGTATCGTACACAAAAGCCAACCCTCCGGACATACCGGCTGCGAAATTGCGTCCGGTGCGCCCGAGGATAACCGCTCGTCCGCCGGTCATGTATTCACAACCGTGATCTCCAACTCCTGCTCATGCGCACACACACACACAAATTGTGATTAGATGTCGAAAGTGTTTGAGAATGATTGAATTTCNGATTTGATTCGAATTCAAGTGGAATGGACTTAGCAGTGAATCAGACAATCGGTGATAAGCAAACAGCTTGAGACGACCAGCTGTGCCACTTCAAAAAGAGATCAACGGATTAGGAACTGGGCGTGGGACAAAGCTCACGACTTCGGGTTGCCCGAACAAACAAGCGAGTGGGTTTTAACTTTGAATTATTCATTTTATCTTAGAGTATATATATATAGGTGTAATTCAAATTATGCCGAATGGGATAGATTGAATCAAAACTTCGCGGGCAAACTTGGACTGAACGTGTTGCGATGTGTTTTGTGAAATACACTTTTCGCTGGACGATGGTACTTCACAATTCACAGCCTTCTTTTTTACAAACCAAAATAAGCTACGATCAAGGTCATACGTGAAAGCGGTATACTTTCGAAGGACCATTCATTTACAGTATGAAACGAAACAATGACAGTCACCTCTAAGAAGCTTTACTGGAAAAGTTATAGACTTTGTTTCCACAAATCATTCCACAATTAACGCAGTAGGGCTACAACCTTTGTTCTCTTTTTCTCGATTTGAAATAACTTTCTCATCATTGAGCATGAGAATAATCGAGGAATAGCTGAAATGATGGGCGATAAAACAAACAAAACGATTTTCAACGATTACTAAGTATTTTTGTTTGGTAATCTGTCGAACAGAAGTCAAGTGTAAAACAAATGAAACAAATGAAACAAATGAAACAAATGAAACAAATGAAAAGTGAAACAAATGAATTCAATAGTAAGCGTGTGAACACTTGCATTTACAATGAACCACACACACACACACACACTCCCCCCCCCACTACGCGTGTGTCATTCAACCTTCATCAGATGATTCAGAACAAAATCCCAAACCGGAAACTAACTGTACGATCATATTTTTTTGGTGGAGCTGGAAACGAGTGAAGGATGATCAGTGCTGTTTCCTCTGCTTGCCTCACATCGATCGAGGGAACAACTTCACCTAGGGATGCAGACCTGTACGCAGGATCCGATCACGGCTTGAGGTATGCTCAAACGAGTTGGCTCACATCCGGCTACTCACAACCGGGATGTTCTTTCAACGCATCCACACACACACACACACACACACACACACACACACACACACACACGAGATCTGCTTGTCATACTGAAACTTAAATTATTCAGCCTAGTTTTCGGACATGGAGTGTGAGAACACGATAAATACGAACGTTACTCATTTTGACTATCTGTTGTGCACAAAACTGGTGATCAAATGGGTCAGAACTACGGATGAGATAACCATGATCACCTCTGACCGGATGATAGTAGACACATCATTGAATTAGTCCCTGCTAAAGACTAAACGAACTATACACTCCGGCAACGACTGCACTGAAAATTTTTCACAAAAAAATAAACATCGTGAAATTGGTCATTTAAAAAGTTTGCAGTTCCATGTTCCGATACGTACATATGTCGGTGTACAGGCACATCTTGGATCTCAAAATGGTCAATTTCGCTCACTGTTGCTACTCCAGATACCAGCACAGATCTTAACCATGGGCTGTTGCGTAACTGAAGCCCTGCCCTCTGGTTTACAAACACAAGCACACAATCATTCTTCGATCCGTGCGAGAGCGTGTGTGTATCCATATCCTGACCATAACAGAAGACGAGGGTGTGAGATGTTCTCGGGACGACCGAGTGGGCTCAACGGATAAACACAAATACTCACGTATTGTTTACTACGGCTGCACTAACTATCGTTGTCAGGACATCGACGATGGCCTAATCACCAAAGATGACCGCAGTAATGCCGACCAAGGATAAGTGTTTACGGTGGTATAAATAATTCAACGGTCATTTCGACTGTTTTCTTCGCTTTGACTATGGTAACAGAGATTGTATGTATGTGTGTGTGTGTGTGTGCGTGTGTGTGTGTAATTACGCCACCGAGTTTATCACACCACCTCGATTGTGGGCCCATTATCTGAATCTCCGCAAAGGTTTTCTACCCTTCAGCACATTCGCCTAAATTCAAGCAATGAAAGGTTCAACACAAGAACTACAGCTGGTGTATTCTGTACGTAGTACTACATCATTCGTGATGGGCGGTGGTGGCCCGGTGGTAACGTCACCAAATTACCACCCCGGAAGACGTGTTTTCGAATCCCAACACCACCGCCCGACTTTCTCCATTATATGTTTTATTGGCAGCCCTGAAATTTGTATCATAGTGTATTCAATAAAGGGAAGTAAAAATTAAAAAAGACGCAAAAAAGGAAAGATTACGCACTATCAGACAGATTGCCCGANTCGTGTAACTAAGTGGTCAACTAAGCGCAAAATCGAACATTGGATTGTATCCAGTGGTCCAAACACTGTTCTGCTTAAATGAGATCCTGCAATAACTGATAATAAATTCAAAAAGTACACTATTGTGCAAAATTTAAACTTAAAAAAAATGACTGATACGTTCCAACAAACTCAGAACCTTCTGCGTAATATATCAGTGCTCGGTTTGGCGAGAATGAGTCACAAATGTTGGGAAAAATGTGTCCCTCACCTTCGGCCACCACAACCGCACCGGAATTGCGCACACAGAATCGTTCGGCAGCCTGTCCCCGTAGGAATAACACACCGTCAGTGGCGCCGTACAAGCACACATTGCCCACGATTAGATTTTGATGACTTTGGAAGCCTTGCTCGAGCAGACCCCGTGGAGGAACAATCGTAACTCGACCACCAGATAACCCTTTGGCCACGTAATCATTGGCATCCCCCTCCAAGCGGACAGTGACTCCTCTGGCCAAAAATGCGCAAAAACTTTGACCGGCGCTCCCTTTCAAAACGATCTGTTTGGTGTCCAAATGTGAATGCGTCAAAATGAGTTGGGCAGAGAGAATACAATGTAAGGTTGACAAGAGAGAGAGATGCTGCTACTGCTGCTGCGGGAATTGAAAACAATGGGTCTGCTACTAATGTTTGCTCTCCCTCTCTCTCTCATGCACACACGCATAAAAATCCTTGCAAGTATCGTCATTCCTTTTCACACACAGCATCGTTCTGGCTGGTTTCATTTTCGTAACAACCGGTAAATATAAATACATATCAGAAGAAGAAACAAAACATAATTTGTCGAATGTCAATTCAGATTTGAATTATGCAATAAACTTATGTGCATAGATATACCGAGAAGAGTAGAATGAAAATTTCCGGGACAAATCACACAAAAAATGAGGTTTCCTGAAAATATGCATGGCCTCCCAATCGATGAACAGAGTCGCCTCCAAACATATTGCATATTGTCACGATGGGAAAATGTGGCTCAAGGTCAGTGAAACTGAGAGTCAGGGCTTTGTGAATCTGGTTTCTATCTGTTTGACATCCGAAACATCATTTTTGAGGTCATTCAAGCAAAAACGTTCTTTCTTCCCAAATCCTCAGTTCATGTTAGACAACAAAAGCAAAACGGAACAAAAAAAAACACCCCGGAAATTCGTGACAAAGGGCGATAGCAGATCCATGTGACTACAGAGAAAGTATAACAATGGCGAGTGAAATCATTCCGTAACAAACCAGCGTATCTGGGGTTATCTGACTCGGTTGGAAACGTTCATAACCTAACTACTTGTTGCACGCGAGTAATGAAGGATTTGATTCAATTTCAAACGGGGAATTCGTCGTTTACAGAGAGCAAATGAAGCGTGAACTGAGAAGCTAAGAAGCATTGGACAGCCAAATCGACGTAGTCTCATTAACAGTGCAAATCCGTCGACCCGACTGGGGACCTCACAGACAGAACACAAGCATGCTACTCACTCGGACAACGAGTGGCTGATCAAACCGTTTACACGATACAGCACAACCCATTTTTGCTAGCTTGTTGCGGGCCTCGCGCCTCGCTCATATCAGCACCAACCTCCGGGGTTATGAGTCCGTTGGAAACGTCCACAACCTGACTACGTGAATCAATTCCGGTCTTACTCGCCAATCAGTGAGTTAACGCGACAACAACTGGAACATTTACCAGCTTTCATGGACCAATACGGTCAAATTTGACCCGAATCACATTAGCATAAGTGAACAGTTCTACAGGCTCAGTTCTAAATAACTTTAGGATAATCCTAAGTCTGGCAAAGCACGTTGATTAACAAATCGAGCTGAAATCAACATATGCACACAGTTTAATTTTAAAAACCCAGTCGTGAAAAAGATTTTCGACATTTGGAAACTATGCTTCCAATTTTGAAAAGTGATGAAAACGTTTTTTAAGTTCAACAAATACTTCCAAGTTAGTCTTCAAATCTGTATGTGTTTTAGTGCAATAACCGCTGGAGTTCACGGTACTCGCAACTGTTACTAGGATCCTTTTTACCAAATGATTCCGATTCCGCAGTCCAATATCGAACGTGTAATTTGAAAGTGTACAACAGTCACTTTGCCGTTTTAAAAATGACGGTGCCACCACCACCACCATCACCACTACCGACGCAAATGTGAAACGGTCGTACTGTAAGCGTGTATGCGAATATGCAACTGTATGTAGTCTATTTGAACATTTATCCAAATCATTATGATGACGTTGAGCAGTCATAAAAATCATTCTGACATTAACTCGAACTGAAACACCGGAGGAACAGAGAACACAGTGTTTTTCCATAGCATGGTAACGATAAACAGTGGATACTGAAGTTCCGCATCCCTTCGATGAACCCGTAT